GAAACTGTGTTTTCCAAACAAGCTAGTTGTTTGATGGCTTTCACACACATTCAACTCTCAGAATTGAACATGTGTAGAGGCATTCGTTTATGTAGCATAAATGGATTTTGTAACTTTAGAAACACTTACTGTGATTTGTAAGTATGTTTTCTAGTGCCGGTTTGAAGTTCATGCAGTTTTCAATGTAAAATCCTGTTGGAGCTACTACCTATCCATATATATATATGTAGTATAGTTCCACACTCTAAAGAAACTGTGTGTTCACAACAAGAAAGATCATTGACCGATTACATGCACATTCAACTCTCAGAATTGGGCATGTGGAGACGCGTTCGTTAATGTAGCATAAAGGGATTGAGGAGCCATAGAAACACTTAATGTGATTTCTCAGTATGCTTCTTAGTGTCAGTTTCAAGTTCATGTACTTTTCTCTGTAAAACCGAGTTGGAGCTAGTACCTCCCCATATATATTTATTTCGTGTATTTTCCCACTGAAAAGAAACTGTGTGTTCCCAACAAGCTAGGTGATTGACGGCTTTCATACACACTCAACTGTCAGAATTGAGCATGTGGAGAGGCGTTCGTTCATCTAGCATAAATGGAATTTGAAAGCGAAGATAATGACCTTGGTAGGAAAACAGTAAAGGGAGCATTAATTTTGGGCCTGTATAGTTATGGTCAATATACATGACAGAATTTCATTTTCAGCAGAAGATTTCTTTTTTTTTAAGCTTCAGAAAACTTAATTCTTTCCTGTAACTGGATATAGATTGTGAATGTTTTAATGTCTTTGAATAACTGCTTTAAAGTAGAAATGTTACTTTGCTTTTGGTCTTTAACCTAAGGGAATATCCAGAATTCCAGTGGCAGTTCAAAAGCAAGGGCCTGAAACTTGCCTAATACTTGTTTCAAGTACAGTAAGAATAACTGTAGACTAGGGTACTGTGGATAACTGAAGGGCTGTTTTGATATGTTGTATGTAAGTTATATTTTCAAAAATTATTAATATAATGAAAATCAATCAACCTTGGTGATCTATTTGGTATAATTTAATCTTTAATAATGTAGATTTTGATAGCCTTTTTATTTATGTAACTTATGAAAATAAGTTGGCTTTATATAACTACTTTCCTGATAAATGATTAAATTTTGGTTTTTTTTTTTATCATTTTCTTCTTTAAAATAGGATATTAATTACACAATATTTATTTTCCTTCAAGTTCATACTTTTTTACCTAAACTATCTTGACTTATTTAGATAAGTTAACCCATAGTCTGATTTATTTTAAACACTCAGTATGTTCTTCTGTCTGTTGCTTTATTAGAGAGCAAGAATTCCTTATTATTTTTAATAAAATATACTTGCAGGAAACTATACTGGGATTCTTTCATTCACAGAGTCAAGCAATGATTCCTGTTTTGTTAGATCAGGTGTCTAAGCCTCTCAACTTCCAAAAGATTAAATGGACAAATTTAAAAACGCAATAAATGATCGACTAAGTAAGTTTATTGTGTTCCTTGATTAAAAGTATAAATATGGGTCAGCCTTAAATTCGGATGTAAAGCTGTTATGAATTACATGAGTCTTCTCCAAAATTCTTTTTTTAAAACATTTTTTATTGATTTATAATCATTTTACAATGTTGTGTCAAATTCCAGTGTTCAGCACAATTTTTCAGTCATTCATGGACATATACACACTCATTATCACACTTTTTCTCTGTGAGTTATCATAGCATTTTGTGTATATTTCCCCACAAAATTCTTTAATTTGGGCTTTAATCCCTCCAGTAAAATACTGGTTTGAAGGAAGAAGAAAGTTGAGAAATGATTCGATCCAAATTCTATGGGAATAAACAAAGCTAAATATTTCAGTCATTTTTTGAAGCAGAACAGATATGTTTTCTGCACCATATGATTTTAATATTATTCATCTGAACATACGGTTTAGACACCATGAGACCACAAGCCAACAAACAAGATGTCAGGTAAAGCAAGAAAAACAACTGAGGGGATTTTCTAATGAAAAATTTCCCCTAACCCGAACTGTAATAGAGAACAAATCTGACGCCACATTGGATCTGTTCCTTAAGTTTGAAGCACTGTGCCCTGTTTTCCAGGCTTAATCTTGCTGGCTCCGCACCTTTTGTAAAACAACGTTGCCTTTAGACTAAAACCTACAGAAAAGCCTATTCTCGGGGCTCTGACCTTTAATGATGTTAGAACTTCTGCACTTATGCAGGGATGGCAAGTTGCAAAATAGAGAATAACCTTTGTTTTGTTGGAGATTTACAGGGACACCACAGCCTGACCCACATGAATGACTGCAAGAACAAAGAATGCCTGCAGCAATAAGTTTGCACAGCCAACCACACCCCCTCCCCACTTTAGCTTAAAAGTGGCCTGAATTCTGACTTGGGCAAGATGATTCTCCAGGACATTAGTCCCCCATCTTCCTAGTCTGCCAGCTTTCTGAATAAAGTTACTATACCTTGCTCCAAAACCTTGTCTCCTGATATATTTTTTATCACTGTTGTGCAGCGAGCAGAACAAGTTTGGCCTCGGTAACAGAACCAGCTTTGTCATTCCGTCTG